ACATCTAAGTATTTTTTTTTTCTGTAGATACTTAAAATATATTCATTACCACTATCTTATTCCTGTCTCCTGTACTAGACTGTTACAACTACAAGGTTTTCTTCACGCCTTTTATCACTAGGTGGCGACGTTAGAAGGAAGAAACGCCATGAAGAACAGGGGCACAGCAGCCCTCTGCATGCTTTCACCACAGTTTGGAGGAAACATTAAATCCTGGACAAACTCTGCTCCATTTATTTATTTGAAAATTCAGGTACTGACTTTAAATTTAAAGCAATTAAAAGAAATGCCAGCCCAGGGCTACAAATCCCTAAATACAATATAATGCTTGAATTTCAACCATTCTAATCCTTGTAATATAAACATTTTGGTGGGAATTCAACCCACCACCACCTACATAAACACCTGTCTACACCTCTTCACCATGTGAAACCCATAGCAGAGCTATGCAAATAAGATGGGAAAGAATTATCTTTCATTTCCAGGCATTTCCTCTCCTTGTGGTTTTATTACCACCTATTTTTTAAAAAAATACATGGAGACATTTACAAGATCTTGTTAAAACAGTACAAAAAATGTCAGCAGAATGAGTTCCAAGATGGTTGCATATTTCTACCACAGACCAAGCAAAGCAGAGCAAATTTAAGACATGAATCTTGTTATTAAAATGCATCTGTAAGAGCATTAGCTCTGAACAGAATCCAGCATCCTATTCAATAGATATTTTAAGCAGAAAAACAACAGAAGCTCATTATTGTAGATGTTAATAGTTTCCTGCATACACTCATCCAGAAAATGTCTTGCTCTTTGAGCAGTGAAAGTAGGCCAACTTACTTCCTTATGAAATTATTCTACCTTCCATCTCCCCAAATCCTCCACTGCAATATTCCCACTTTCCCCTGTGACTAAGACAATGTTCAGGCCACCTGCCCATCGCCCTAACCTCCATTTTTGGGGTTCCCCACTCAAGGACCAGCCCCAACTGAGAGCAGCCCACGGGCTCAGCCATTCGGTGCATGCTGCAAAGTTGTTGCTAGGAGAAAGAGAGTCTCGTGGTGAGCTGGGAGGTCTCTGCTTGAACACCGGCACTAGTAGGACCTCTCTCTGTCACCCAGCCTCTGATTTTCCACATGGATATAGCATGAACGGGTGAGAACCAGAGCCCTCGGCATGTTCCTGTTTCTGTCTGAGAGACCCAATGAGGAGCTGTGGGCATTGTACCCAAAATGTGATTTACAGATACCACAGAAGGTGTTGCTTTCTTTACAAGGCCCAGAGAGAGCAGATGGGCCGGCAGAGGCTTTCCCAAGCATGGACACTGCTGGGATTTCTGCTCCAGCCTGGCAGCCCCAAAACACCCCCACACTTACAGCTGCCACAACCTGCTTTCACACCTCCCATCAATTGAGGTTGAACACAATAAATTTAATTTTCTCCCAAGACAGCAGAGAGGAAGAATGCTGGTGGCTGTGAGGAAGGTGCTTTGGCATGGCAAGCCTCAGGCCAGGCGGCTCCTCAGTGGTCACTGGCAGCTCTTTTGGGGAGGAGCTGTACCTCACAACGCCATACAGATTTTCCTCAGGAATACACCTAGGGCGAGCAAAAATATGGAATCATGGAGTTGTCAGAGTTGGAAAGGACCTCTAGAGATGATCTAGTCCAACTCCCCTGCCAAAGCAGGGTTGCCCAGAGCACATCACTCAGGACTGCATCAAGGCGGGTCTTGAAAATCTCCAGAGAAGGGGACTCCACAACCTCCCCGGGCAGCCTGTTCCAGGGCTCTGTCACCCTCGCTGTAAAGAAGTTTTTCCTTGTATTTGAATGGAACTTCCTCTGTTCCAGCTTGTGCCCATTGCCCCTCGTCCTGTCACTGGGAACCACTGAAAAGAGTCCGGCTCCATCATCCTTCAACCCACCCTTTAGGAACTTGTAAACGTAGGGAAGGTCTCCCCTCAGCCTTCTCTTCTCCAGGCTAAAGAGCCCCAGCTCTCTCAGCCTTTCCTCATAAGGGAGGTGCTCCAATCCCTTAATCATCTTTGCTGCCCTAAGCTGGACTCTCCAAAAATAGATGCACATGCACTTTTTCAATTTTTGTATATTTATACCTTATCCCGGCCGCTTAAACTTCTGTCTCTCCTTTTCATTGGCTGAGAAGTTGGAGCTCACATTCTTCCCGACTGCCTAACCTATCGCAGGTTTAGCCTATATCTTTTCTACCGTATAAGGCATATACACACCTATTCTACGAAATTTTATCTTGAACATATAATTTTCTTCATCAGGTGGTCGCATCCTCGTCTTCATCAGCTGCCCCCCCCTTTTTCCTTGTGAGCGGGCCTACTTGGCAGCCTTTACTGTCCACCTGGCAGATTCACTGTCCAAGCCTTGTTCTTTTAGTCTTATTGATACTTTTCTATCTTCTTGGTCCCTATGTTGAAGGACACGTTCCAGTCTGTTTCTCTTCACCTAGATAACACTCTGAGAACAAGGACATTTCAACAGACCAAGAACATCTGTAGGGATTAGTTAGATACAATTTGTTAAACTTTTATTACTACTACTAAAGCTTCTTTGTTAGTACTATCACGCTAACAATGATACATCAATTAGCTGAAGCAAAACTTAGCTCGTTTCCCACAAAAGGCACATTGCTGGCTCGATTTCAACTAAGCCACCACACTCTTAACTCTGCTTGAGCGCGCAGCTCCCTGACCCGTGGCGGGGCCAGGACTCGAACCCGCAACCTCCAGCTCTCGAGCCGTGCGCGCCAACCCGCTCACCACGTGACACACCTCCCCTTTCCCCCGCCCGCCCGCGACCTGCCAACACTTCCGTAAACACCGCGGCAGCTGAGTGACAGGGGGCAGCGGCCAATCGCGGGGCGCAGAGCGCCGGGGAGGGGGCGGTCGCCTCCTCAGCAGTTCCAGCGGCGCGCGGCGGGAACGTTAACGGTAAAAGTAACGGGTGCCGCGCGTTGCTGAGGGACGGGGGGAGGGGTCTGTCTGTGCCGTGGCCGTACAGTGGGCGGGTGGGAGGGATGAGCTCTGCCTGTCAGAGGCGGGCGCGGCTCCCCTGAGGGCGCTGGGCCGCCGGGGGACTGTCGGCGGGCAGGCGGGGGTTCCCCACTCAAGGACCAGCCCCAACTGAGAGCAGCCCACGGGCTCAGCCATTCGGTGCATGCTGCAAAGTTGTTGCTAGGAGAAAGAGAGTCTCGTGGTGAGCTGGGAGGTCTCTGCTTGAACACCGGCACTAGTAGGACCTCTCTCTGTCACCCAGCCTCTGATTTTCCACATGGATATAGCATGAACGGGTGAGAACCAGAGCCCTCGGCATGTTCCTGTTTCTGTCTGAGAGACCCAATGAGGAGCTGTGGGCATTGTACCCAAAATGTGATTTACAGATACCACAGAAGGTGTTGCTTTCTTTACAAGGCCCAGAGAGAGCAGATGGGCCGGCAGAGGCTTTCCCAAGCATGGACACTGCTGGGATTTCTGCTCCAGCCTGGCAGCCCCAAAACACCCCCACACTTACAGCTGCCACAACCTGCTTTCACACCTCCCATCAATTGAGGTTGAACACAATAAATTTAATTTTCTCCCAAGACAGCAGAGAGGAAGAATGCTGGTGGCTGTGAGGAAGGTGCTTTGGCATGGCAAGCCTCAGGCCAGGCGGCTCCTCAGTGGTCACTGGCAGCTCTTTTGGGGAGGAGCTGTACCTCACAACGCCATACAGATTTTCCTCAGGAATACACCTAGGGCGAGCAAAAATATGGAATCATGGAGTTGTCAGAGTTGGAAAGGACCTCTAGAGATGATCTAGTCCAACTCCCCTGCCAAAGCAGGGTTGCCCAGAGCACATCACTCAGGACTGCATCAAGGCGGGTCTTGAAAATCTCCAGAGAAGGGGACTCCACAACCTCCCCGGGCAGCCTGTTCCAGGGCTCTGTCACCCTCGCTGTAAAGAAGTTTTTCCTTGTATTTGAATGGAACTTCCTCTGTTCCAGCTTGTGCCCATTGCCCCTCGTCCTGTCACTGGGAACCACTGAAAAGAGTCCGGCTCCATCATCCTTCAACCCACCCTTTAGGAACTTGTAAACGTAGGGAAGGTCTCCCCTCAGCCTTCTCTTCTCCAGGCTAAAGAGCCCCAGCTCTCTCAGCCTTTCCTCATAAGGGAGGTGCTCCAATCCCTTAATCATCTTTGCTGCCCTAAGCTGGACTCTCCAAAAATAGATGCACATGCACTTTTTCAATTTTTGTATATTTATACCTTATCCCGGCCGCTTAAACTTCTGTCTCTCCTTTTCATTGGCTGAGAAGTTGGAGCTCACATTCTTCCCGACTGCCTAACCTATCGCAGGTTTAGCCTATATCTTTTCTACCGTATAAGGCATATACACACCTATTCTACGAAATTTTATCTTGAACATATAATTTTCTTCATCAGGTGGTCGCATCCTCGTCTTCATCAGCTGCCCCCCCCTTTTTCCTTGTGAGCGGGCCTACTTGGCAGCCTTTACTGTCCACCTGGCAGATTCACTGTCCAAGCCTTGTTCTTTTAGTCTTATTGATACTTTTCTATCTTCTTGGTCCCTATGTTGAAGGACACGTTCCAGTCTGTTTCTCTTCACCTAGATAACACTCTGAGAACAAGGACATTTCAACAGACCAAGAACATCTGTAGGGATTAGTTAGATACAATTTGTTAAACTTTTATTACTACTACTAAAGCTTCTTTGTTAGTACTATCACGCTAACAATGATACATCAATTAGCTGAAGCAAAACTTAGCTCGTTTCCCACAAAAGGCACATTGCTGGCTCGATTTCAACTAAGCCACCACACTCTTAACTCTGCTTGAGCGCGCAGCTCCCTGACCCGTGGCGGGGCCAGGACTCGAACCCGCAACCTCCAGCTCTCGAGCCGTGCGCGCCAACCCGCTCACCACGTGACACACCTCCCCTTTCCCCCGCCCGCCCGCGACCTGCCAACACTTCCGTAAACACCGCGGCAGCTGAGTGACAGGGGGCAGCGGCCAATCGCGGGGCGCAGAGCGCCGGGGAGGGGGCGGTCGCCTCCTCAGCAGTTCCAGCGGCGCGCGGCGGGAACGTTAACGGTAAAAGTAACGGGTGCCGCGCGTTGCTGAGGGACGGGGGTAGGGGTCTGTCTGTGCCGTGGCCGTACAGTGGGCGGGTGGGAGGGATGAGCTCTGCCTGTCAGAGGCGGGCGCGGCTCCCCTGAGGGCGCTGGGCCGCCGGGGGACTGTCGGCGGGCAGGCGGGGATGGGCCCGCCGGGCTCTGTGGGGTGGTCCCGGCCCGGCTGAGGGCAGCAGCAGCTGTGGGCCCCGGGCCGCTCTCAGGGGGCCTGCTCATCTTGAAGGAGCGATGTGTGCTGCTCCTCAGGAGCAGGGAGGCTCTCCGCCTCAGCTGTCCGCTTCCAGTGTTGGAGGGGGTGGCGGGATCTGTAGCTGGACTTCAGGGCAGGTTTTTCCTGTACGTTCGTGCTGAGCGGGCAGTTGTGTTCTTCTGCGGTTTTTGAGTAAGGTCTATCCTCTTCAGAAGTTATTGTGCGTGTATAGTTTTGTTTGGTGCTGATTGCTGCGTGTGTCTCTTAATAATTGTTGTCATAAACATACGTGATAAAATAGGCATGCCCTTCTACTTTCTTGTTTGTTTGTTTTGAATGGCATAACATAAGTGCTTTGTTTTACTTGTTTGTGTTTTGATGTATTGTCACAGCATTCCAATGGAGATAAAAGCAGTTGTAAGAAGGTACGAAACAAGAAATAAGACAGCAGGAACAGAACTGCCATCCAAATCTAGAGTTGATTGGAGGCGCACTAAAAGGGAGCTCATACTACTTGACAGCAGTGACGAATCCTCATGTACCTCTGAGGAGGAAGAGCCTACTGCATCAGAAGATGAAGTACACAGTGAAGATGAAACTGTTGCGGAGAACAGCCTCTCAGATCATGTAGAGAAAAGCTATGATGGGGAAGGAACAGAAGATGGTGAGGATGAGTGCATCACGCCTGGGAAGCGTAAAAGGTCGAACAATTCTGTCTTGTATGACAGTGATGATGAAAGCGACGACAGTGATATAGTTGTTAGAAAAGTTTTTGCGAAGCGCCACTGTATAATGGATGAAGATGAGAATTCCCAAGAACAGCAGCCTGGTGAAACCTGCCCTACAGAAAATGTTTCTACTAATATGAAACAGAAGGTGTTTGCAAAATTGAAAGAACTTGCAAAACAAAGAGCAACTCGGAGATCCTGCGGCAGTGAAAATTGTGAGGTCTGGATTTTATCTTTGAAATTCAGTTGGTGAAAATACTGAATGTAAGGAAAGGTGAAGACTAATAGATATAAGTCAGTGGGATTTTCTTTTGTTTTTTATTCATGACAAATTGGTAGTTCTGTCGCATTTTAGCAGTTGTCACATTAACTAGTTAACAATATTGACTGCTAAAAACCTTTTAATATTAATCACTGAGTTTAGAATTTCTTTTCATTTGTTTCATAGAACGCAGGTATCTTCTCTATGTAGTCAGGAAAGAAAAGCTTCTTTATCATTCTTTTTTTTTCCCATAAAGAAGAGATGCATGAGAGGACTATCAAATGATGTTTATCAAGAAGCAAAATGCCTGCTGAAGTAACTTAGAGTTCTCATGTTAGCTTAATTCCTACAAATAGATTGAAGAGAGGTACACGGAGATGGCTGATTTAAAGCTGGAAGTAGTTGTCATCTAGTACAGAATTATGTATTTTTTTGAAACAGATTATTTCTTGTTAATTGAACAAAGGGTGCTATTAGAAGGTCAAAAATTTTATCCAGTATATGTAGTATTTCATCAGTGCAAATACTGAAAATTCTTCTGTTTTAAATACTTTCTAAAATTTAATTAGGATTCTAATAGTGAAGAAGAAATAGAAGAGGAACCACTTTGTCACTTGCCCCTCACACCAACAGAAGTTAGTGAAACTGACAGTGACAGCATGAAAGATTTTATAGTAGAGGAAGATGATGATGACACAGAGCACGTGAAGAGTGAAAACCAGCCACAACAGAAGGAACTAAATACATCAAATAGCGAGTTGCTGGCATACCACGTCCCACACTGTAAGATTAAAACTGGTGACAATTCTATATTTATAACTTGCTTGTAGTGCTGTAATAAATATTAATGGACTGTAAACACAAATGCTCTGTAATAGGATATGGTAGTTTAAAAGCATATTTCTAAAAGACTTCAATTTACTCTGATTTCCACAGTGAGCTTTTACAGTATTTCTGTATCTTATTAAAGGCATAATTTGAGGGGAAGGAAGGAAAATCCTGTTGTACGGATTTTTCAAGTTAATCTGATTTAGGGTGCAGAGGGCTACCTATGATAGTCATTCCTCTGGAGACCTAAAAGCATCATGCTCCATCCTGTGATATATGCTAAAAATAGCTATGTTTATTCTGGCTAAATTCTGTTCTGGAGAGTGATGTAAAATTCTCACCGTGAGTTTGGGGGCTTTGGGTCTTGGGATTTGATGGGTTGGTGTTTTTTAATGTATTTTTATTCCATGGCTCTGAGACTTGGGAGCACAGGTCTGTAGGGTGCTCTGAATTCATTGGTCAATTTCAGTCAAACTACACAGAGCAAGAAATCTTGTCAAATTGATCTTCTATGACAATTGGAATCTGGGTGGAGCAGAGAGATAAAGATTTAAAACAGAACTGTATGCTAGTTATCTTCGTACGTATTTTGTTGTTCAGAAGTAGGTATGTGTTAACTGGACAGTTGCTGCTAGTGTAGTAGTCACAAGCATTTGTGGCATTTCTTCCCTAGTGAAGAAGTGAGAGGAATTGAGTGTATTTGAAAAGAGATAACAAACAAAAAGAAATAACAAACAAACAAAAAAAACCGCCCCATAAGCCTCGCCTTTTCTGGTTTGCATTATTTCCTGCTATTCATAGAAAAAAACTATTATCTTATTTTAGTGTTTGTAGCTTTTACTGTGGTGTGGGCTCTCCTTGCTGAAAGGAGATGTGACTTTAGGATGCTATTATTCTTTAAGGTCATTGGGATGAGAAGCAATACTTAAGGGCAAGGTCTCAAGGGTGTGTTTCAATGTTGTACATTGAAATTATTTTTAAATCCATTGTTAAATGACTTTAAAATTCTAAATTTACAATAACGGAAAAAAATTTTTCTTAAAGGACTTTTAACATTGTTTACGTCTTTTTCTTTAAATTCTGGTTATATTGCTTTCTTCCCAGTATCTCGCTGTGACCATTATGTACACTTCAAAAGAATAGTAAAGGCTTTCCTCATAAATGCAATTGATGACACTTTTCTGGGCTCATTATATGGTAAGTAAATTGCATTAAATAATATAATAGTGCATTCAAAGTTATAGGAAGACATTTATTCTAGGGATAGATGTGTTTCCTGATTATAGGACTGTGAGTCCTGAGATCTGTTCTTAATTTTGCTGTTCTGTAACTTTGTGGGGGGAGGAAAGATCTGTCTGAAAAGGATAATTTTTGGAAAAATACGTAGACTTAATTCTGTTAAGCTTAGAGGGCATTCTGAGATTTAGGAAAGTATTTCTGTGTCACTGATCAGTAGTAACACTTCAAGCATGAAAGTGAAATTAATTTCAAAGTGGATATCTCAATGAAAACATTGCAAGGTCTGCTGATTTGTCAAAATGTTAAATGCTCCATAGCTTTTACTGAGGAATTTGATAATAAATAGTTTTAATTATGGAGATTACTCCATATCTGATTTTTTTTTTTCTTTTCCTTTTTTTTTAAAGATTTGTGCTTTCACATAAAAAAATACACTTCAGCTGCAGTCTTGTTCTTGCTGAGGAAGTGATTTTTTGGCATTTGGCCTAGTTGGGCTGAATGGCAACCTCACGTGTAGTTTCAGAAGTACTGTAAAGACGGGATTAGTGAGAGGACTGTCAGTGTCAGGGTGTGGAAGGAGTCAGCAAAGTGCCAAAGAGAGAAGGTTTTGGTGTTATCAGGAACTAAGAGGGAATGGAGAAACCAAAGTACGCCACAGACTTCAGAATAAAGGCTGTGCATTTTTTGGAGCTAAAAATGTCTTTCACCTACCACTGCTAGTTCTTTCAGGTATTAGTTTTGTTTTGTTTTGTTTTTTTACCAAGTGAAAATAAACTTATGGAAAAAAAAAAGGTAAACTTTGCAAGATTTATGTTGTAATAGCTTCCGTCTATTTCAAATTGTATTTGCTCTACAAAACTAACAACTTATTGCCAAAGTGCCGAAGTAGATCAGCTGTGTGGGTCAGTTGGAGGTCGTATCCTTTCTTTCTGAAGAACATTATATAGTATGAACACAGCCTAGCATTACAAAGATATATTGTTATAACACAGAATGGATTTTTCTGAGGTAGTGGAATTGAATATATTAGTTTGAATCAAGAGCAGGGATTTTTATACTAGAGTTCAGACTTGCTTTTTATTTCGAGGGATTTTTTTTTATGGTCTAGCACAGCCTCGTCAATCCTTTGGTATAGTTGACTTACTGAAAGTGTGCGCTTTTCCATATACACTTTACACATACAATTTTAATTATGGTGGCTATAATGGCAATTAGCTATTTCTATATAGAGAACTAGCTGAACTGTGGTCCTTCTCGGTTCTGTTACTTTGATAACAGCATTGCTAAAAGACATGGGAAGGCAGCTGAATTAATTTGTATGGCTGTACATGCTGAAGCTCAAGACAATATGAATTGGCCTGCATCTATGGAAGTCTCATTTACTTACTGGAGTCCAGCACATATTTGGGAGACAGTTGTGGCATAGTGGTAGTTTTGCTCATCCTCATATTCGTTTATTTCTTTTGCTTGAGGAAGTATTTGTGCTGCCTGACTCAAGGCATCTGACTCTGCTACTGAAGTTTAAAGGTCAGTTTCTGTGTGTTCTTTGTAAGCCAGGAAGAGAGTTGCCAAAATTTCTGCTGTGAAGCAGCTCAGCAGTTTGTTTTCATGGATTGCAACTACCTCCCTTATACATTAGGAACAACTTACAAAAAGCAACACTTTTTTTTTTTTTCTTCTTTTTCCAATCTTTTAAATGGCATTGAATGAATGAGTCTCCATTTGGGATGACAGTTTTGCACTTTAACATTGATTGTGCACTTTATTCATGTACCTCTTGTGATACAGACTTTTAAAATAATTAAATATATCGGTTTATCAAAGATGCATGGATCACTTTTATGCGTAACAGTAGCAAATGTGTTCAGTAATAATTTATTTAAATCATTATGCAGAAGCATAATGTCCTTGAAAATTTTATTTGAAGAAACTTATACAATGTAGGGTGGCAAGCAAATTAGTAATGGCTCTCACTAAACAGATGGAACAAGACAAAAGAAGTATGCACAAGATATGTTGCTCTCACTTCATTATTTGGATGATCGCTTCATTCAGCCTCGTCTTGAGAACTTAATCTCTAGAAGTCGCTGGAAAGATCGATACAAGGTATGTAGCCTTTACTATAAATAGCGTAGTGGACTCCAAATCATATTATTACTGATAGATTTTTATTTTTTTTAATAGTGTAATTCTCAGCGATTATTTTTTTTTTATATATACTATATATAAATTATATATACTTTTTTAACAGAGGCTCATTGTTCTTTCCCCCTTTTAACTTGTTTTGATACTTATAAATATCTGAAGTATTTTATGTGTTTATAAACAGATAAAACATTCAGGTAACAGAACAGAATCTGTTCTAAGTTACCTGAATGCTTCTCCTACTAACTTAAGCAGATGAGTTTTTGAGGATTTTTTGTCACTTGCTAAATGTTATAACAAAATTTATTCCTCCTCCCACAAAAAGATAAACCGGTATCTTCACAATGACCCTTCTGCTTAAAAAAAAAAGTCAATATACAGTAACCTAGTCATTGTTTGCAAATTAGTAGAATGGTATTAATGTGATAGGTGTGGTGATCTAATAATCACTGTAATAACAGAGTAAGGCCAGAGGAGAGATACAGTGGATTTATTTGAAGCAGACCAACTGATACAGTTGCACCCCTACCCCTCTGAAAAAAAGAAAGAAAAAAAGGAGAGGAAAAATTAGTGCCAAGAGGTAGGAGCTATTCTTTGGGTCTGAAGCTGAAAGAAAGATGAGATGAAACTGTTGGAAAACGATTGAGAAGATACATGTTTGCAACAGAATGATTTAATCTCTTTGGGGTTTTGGTGTGTTTGTTTGTTTTCATTAATCTCTTGCACTAATTTTGTATGTGTACAGAGTACTCAGTAACCTACTTGAGGCATCTTTCAGTTTATGGAGATTCTTTAACATTATTTGAAATGTCTTTTTCAGGAGCGTGTGGATTGTTACCCAGATGTTCGCATAGTCTTGAAAAATCCAGAATATATTTCTTGTCAGGCCTGTGGATTGAATCGGTATTGTAAGTTTCAAGTGCTGCTCTCTGGAAGGCTTTATAACAGCAGAACTTTGGAAGCAGATGACTTCATGTCAGATGACAAGCAGGTAACTTCAAACAAGCACCCTATATAATTGTTTTTAAACTTTGCCTAGTGTTACAGAAGATCATACAAAGAATAGAACTCCTGACAACACATCTAATGTTTATAACGTTAGAGGCAAGAGTTAAGCTATTGTACTTCCATTTGTAAACCCTATTATTTTTTGAAATATGAGGACCATGTTGCAGTTGGGAGGAATATAATTTTGGATTTTGGTAGGGATTATGAAGGAAGTTCCAATGAAACTTAAAAGGATTAATAGAGACATTCCCCTTTGCACACCCCTGTTCCATTTTTTTATATATTGAGAAAGAGGTAATTAAGAGTATCCTCAAATAACCCTAACTTTTATCAAGAAAATAAATCTGATGTTTTTCTATGACCTTTGCTTTTGCCTGCATCACAATGATCGGCGTGCTCTTTCCTCCTGACTTTTGCCACTTAGTATTAGTACCTGATACAGCACATGTACTTCCATGCAGTAGGTGCTAGTAAGTGTACTCAACCATAAGCTGGACTTCATGATAAAAAAAGATAAATTACTCTAAGACACACAACAGGAATTATTGATAACTCTTGCCCTCAAGTAAAAATTGACATCTGTCCTAATTTTTCCTCTGCTTCCAATCTCTACAGTCTAAGTCTCATCCAGGGCAGGAAGGAAACTGTAGGTACATGGCATCCCACGCGTCCTGTTCAGCATGTCTGTCTTTTATGGTGCACGGGGAGGCAGTCTGAAACTGTGTGTCAAAGACAAACTGGCTGCACACATGAATATTCACATACTAACCAAAGTTCTAATATGACTACTCAATTGGTTATATCTAAAGTAGCTTTTTGTTTTGTCAGAGGACATCTAATAGAAGATTGAAAATCCTAAAGTGGATGCATATCTTAAAGGAAGAAAAACCAGTGGTAAAAACAAGAAAAAACTGAGTGATGTTCTGAACCTGCCTGGCATTGCAGCTTTTCACCAAGTACCTGAGAAATAATGACTTTTTTTCTTGAATAGGCCCTATCTCCTTATGCCAGGAGCCTGAGGTTTTAAATCAAGAATGACATTTGCCTCAGATTTACATATATTCTAAATATCAGAATGTCTTTTCACTGAAATTAGATCACATGAAAGCCCTCTGCCTTTGTGTGTGCATATAGTACCCTTAAGACTTTCCCAGCAGGAATCTTGAATTGATTATCTTTCAGAAACATTATAAAAGTGACTTTCTGTATAATGGACAATGATCTCGGTTGAATGATTGTGTTTTCTGTTTTGTGGCAAGTAAGGTTTGTTCTGCACTGGGTCACTAGGTTTGCTAATTCTATGCCTACTCTGTCTCTAGCATTTGGAGCATCTGTGTGCACTCCAACAGTTCTTGTTTGCTGTAGGTCAGAACATTGAGATAGTGCCACTGTCATTCTAATAATCCAAGTGCAGCCTATTCAGAATTTACTGCTTCATTCTTCAGATTTCTTCACATCTGCTATTTCCCATGTAGATATTCACCCAGGACAAACTATCTTGACATCTCGGTTGCAATGACACTTGAAATTGCTCATCTGCTTTTGAGAAGACTTGTCCCTAACTACTTAAATACATTTTATTAGAGCCTTTTTCTCATTGCTGCATTATCAGAACTACTTGTCCAGACTAGAAAACATTTCCGTTGAGGTAGTCTTGCATCTTTTACTTGCTCAGTTGTCTCTACTAGGACATTTTTGATTTAAATTGTAGTTTTGGAATGAAACACGTCTTTCATGTTGTTACATGACGTTGCTCTAGCAGTCATTTTAGGGGACTTGAGGAGTCAATGTTTTTTGTATTGCACAGCTGAGACATGAAGATCTTGAATCTTGAGAACCTGAGTGTTCCTAATATTTAGGGATCTTCCCTTCAAATTTACAGCTACCAGTAATTGCTATGATTAAGTATGCTTATGACCTTCTTAAGTAATGTAATTCGTGACCTCTTGTGATAAGGTCAAAGTACATGATTTGTTGAAAATAAAATGTTGCTACAATTGTGTATGAAGCTGATATCCATGTTCTGCCTTTCTTCTCTTTCAGGAGGCAGAAAAGGTATATTCCTTTTTTTTGTGAACGTAAAATAATTTTTGAATACAGCTAAAGTTCCTCACAGTATTTGCTGAAAAGAAAAAAGTGTCAGAACAAGTTGTATATACAATATATTTTGAAACGTGGTGTAATAGGATTTCTTATATAAAGTGAATCCCTCATCAAACTGGAAGTACACCTTACTGAAGCTCAAGGCTGTATTGTTTGGATCTTTGCAAATATTCTACCTTGGAGATCTGAGGGGCGTCAGAGGGATTGTCATTGTGTCATCATACTGGGCCCTGCATGTAATGCAGAATCCAGGAAAATCTATGCCACCGTTTTTCGTAAATAGGTTACGGGCCCTTCTGAGCAGTAGTTGTTAATACTCTGTTTTGATAAGTTCGTGTCTGCCTGATAATCCAGAAGCTAAGCTTTTCCAGCAAGGCTTTTCCCCTTGGTGATTCCTTGGCAATCATACTGGCACTGATTCTGCAGTCCATTGTACAGTCACTTTTCTTCCTTACATCCTTACGTCTCTAAATGTAGATTACTAATTTTAAAAATTCCAGTTTTTCATGGGAAGTGTGTGCCTTGCCTAACCAGAAATAATAAGTGAACTACCACAATAATTTAATCTTTACTCAACTTCCATCTTTGGAAATAACGGTAGCAATTCCCTCACTATGTAGGACAACATTTGGACAGCAAAGCATTGGCTATTTTTCACTTTGGAAAAAATTTGAAGTATCCTAATGAATATTGAACTGACTTGCAAGTTCGTTTTTTGTCCTCTTCTGCTTAACAGAAGAAAATGAGAGCTTTTTTTACACTGTGTACCCCAGCATTTGCTGAGATGCATGGCATGGGCATGCTCAATATAGCTCTGGGGATGTAGAACAGACTCAGGAGAGAGAGTTATTGAGTACTTTCCAGTAACTTTTGATAGTGCCTTTGTAATGCAACATTCATGCTCTTATGGTAACCTGTAATTTAGACTGCTAAAGGTACTGTTCTCAAGTAGCCTTTGAGTTCTGCTGGCAGTGCATTGATCAACTTGTCCTGCCAATTGAGGGAAAAAAAGAAGAAAAAAGGCACACAGAGCTATGTAAAACTGGCACTTCAAGAACTTAATTGACTTAAGAGAAGGCAGTTTAGCACTGGCAGATCAGATTGAATGGAAACATGTAGTTGGACCATTTTCTAAAGTTTTATTTGCAAATACCCAAGAAAAGAGGATGTGGAGAGAACAAAAACAGACCTCCAACCCTCTTTTGCATAAAACTTTCCTTTTCTCTCATCTCTGAAGTATTCTGCTTTGCCAGTAGAAAGAGAAGAGAAACAGCTGTTCCAGTTTTGCTTAGGCTTGCAGTGATTGTTCTGTGTAGCTGCCAGTTCTCATTCCTCCATGGTCAGGGGGAATGGAAGGGTTTAAAGGTGTAAGTGACCCCTACACTTCTTTGCTCCTGTGTCACCTGGATTGCAACTTGTTTTCTACTCTCAGTCTTGATGTTCTGCTTCCGTTGATAACCATGCTTAGAGGACGTGGATTCAGTCACTGCATGTTGTGCTGTTGTCAGGCTATGCTCCTGCATTCCTTACAAAGTGATTTAACACAGCTTTGGCTGATAGGGCCAGCTCGAGTAGATAAGTTAAGCATTAGGACAGTGCGAACTGCAAGGGGAAAAAATTAGAATGAGTACAGTACTGAGATTCTTTCCAAAGCTATATTCTGAAATAGCATTGTATTTTTAGACAATATTTTCTTGCTTTAAAAACACAATACATAATTACATTGTATGATATTTAGCTATTTGCCTCTGGCATTTCTCCAGTATAGAAATACTTTGCACCTCGCGCATGAAGTATGAAACCCACTGCCACGAGATAACTTTGGAAGTGAAAAGCCTTAGTGGTTCCCAAAAGGGATTAGACAGGTTCTTGGGGAAACTTCTTCCACACTATGGAACATGATAGTTGGGATGATATAGGCTGTCTTAACTGTTGGCTGCTAGAACCTGTGTGGTAATGTTGTGATCATTCTGGTGTTCATCCTGCAATTTATATTAACTTCCTAAATATCTCCTGCTAGCTGTTGTCACAGGAGAAGAACTGGGCCATCAGTTTTACACCACACAATGTTCCAGATGCTTGGGAATGCTCCTCAGCGTTCCTCATTGCTTGGGATATGTGAAGTTATGAAGCACTCTCTGAAACACTGCAGTTCAGTTCTGGATTGTTTTCAGTATTTGAAATGGTACTTCTGGAAATTTGCATAAATCAAGGTTATGTATTGGTTGGTAGGTCTTGCACTTCAGAAGCACCTATAGCACCAAACACAAGCCTTAGCTTTTCAGTTTTGGTGACAGTAGGAAGTGGAGCTGCATATAGGTCCAAGTACATGATCAGTAGAGAATTGCAATATTGTAATAGGAATTGTTTATCTCAAAATGGTTAAAATTTCTGTTACTAGCCATCTACTGTAGGTCAAATCAGAAGTTCTTTTAAATGAGTGTGTCTCTGTTGACTTCAGTGATATTTTACCTTCTTATATCAGGCAAGCTGCTGGTTAATATATTTAAGAAAATAAGTATACTCATCTATTTAAGAAGTAAATAATACATATAAATATAATTATAGTTTATATAATCTTTCTAAATATAAATACGCTTTTCTGTTACTGTCTTTGCCACTAGATGCTGCTAGTGCCAGTACAGGTAGGTCAGGTGTTTTGGGGAACTGCTCACAGGTGCAAACATTTGGTCATGGTCAGAAAAGCTTCCTGAAATGCAGGTTTTAAGCATTGCTTAAAACTTTACCTTCTCATAATTTAAAATGGTATTCGCATTATTCCCAATGACAGCAATAAAAATATCACTGTTGTAGCTCATAAGAGATAATTTGCAATATATAATATGGCTTTTTTTGATATATGTATGTGTAATCTGAAATAGCAATACAGTTACAGCTTGCATGCTGATGCAGAGAGCTTTGACCTTTAGCCATTTACCTGCTTGTTACTCACAAAGGTGTGAGAAGACGTCAGTCCAAAACAATGCTGCCCTTTAAAGATAAGTTGATGGGGGTTTTTCCTAGTAAAATTAAATCAGATTTTCCTGTATTTATCAGGAGCTGAAGTTCATGGTATTCAAAGCAACATGTATTAGTTAATGTTGCTTTTGAGTGTAGAAAACCTGACCTCTGAAAACCAGCCAGAAATAGATTTCTTTCTGGATAGGCTTTGTCTCCATGGGTTGGAATAGCAATTGGTGCACCTGTGGGTCGTTTGCAGGGGATAGATTCCTCTTCTTATTTGCCCTTGTATGTACTTGAACTACTTCTTTTGTAGAAATAGAACAAAACTTAATCATGTGAAATGCAGGTTGTCCTTACACGCAGATGAACTTTGATTCTTTCTCCCAATTTGACTCTTTCCAATTGCCAATATACTACTCAGTATTTTCAGGTAAACACTTTCACAGCTTAACATCTTTGCAAAAAATTTAAATTCAAGATATGTGCAAATACTTTCCTGTATTTAATGTTAGTGCTGACAGGTGTTAATCCATGCTCTGATTATGTATTTACATGCATATTTACCATTAGTCTGTCTATAAGTACTGCTGTAAAAAAACCTGTTAAATAAGACAATTTCCATACACAAAAGACAGAACTGTAGGAGTAAAACTGGTAACAACTGGGAGATGCAGAGGCTTTGATTTCTACAGCATTGTGGCCTAGCTATACCTCCCAAAGAGCTGCAGATTAACATTTGCATTGTGTAAAACCTCAGTTTTCAGATTCTATTTTTATTAAATCTAATCTCTCTATATTTATGAAATATATTTTTCTAGCCATATATTTATTTGTATTCATATGTATTTCTTGAAAAAATATTGAATATCATTTGGTCTACAAAATGCTAGAACTAGTATTTTATGTTCCTGTGAAGTACTACATATTAAGCAAAAGTAATCAAATAATTTCTCTTCCTCTGCTTCCACAATATGACGGTTGCCTAAAATGTTAGTGATTTTGTAACAAAAGTTCCGCCAGGAAATAGGAAAGATACTACCAATTCTAAACATGGCTGTGTTTGCAAGAAAACTGTACTGATAAGTTGCCGTTGCATAGACTTGCTGGCTGCCTGCTTGTCAAAAATTGTTCTGCTGTGGCTGTGAAAACTACATGGGTTTGTGCTGATTTTATGCATGTAATGTCATTCTGGTTATTTCATTATTCAAAAAAATCTTCCTAGACTTACTGATAAAATCTTACTAGACTGACTTATTCTCTCTGATAGAAAGAATGGCTTATTTGTTTGCTTTTGGCCTAGGTGTTGAAGGTTGGTGTGGTGTGTGCAAATCGTACAAGAGTTTATCATAATTTGAAGCACTTCAAGTACAAGCTGTATGTGGATTGCAGCTCCGTTACCGAGTTGGATGGTGTGAAGGATGAGCCAGTAAAAGACACAGTCGAACGGCTTTTCAGCCAGTTGGAAGACAGTGGGTGGATTCAGAAGGTACAACTGAGTTATTTGATGTATCCTTTCCAAGTAGATAAAAGTAAGCTGAGGTAGTATGTCTGATTTAATTGATCAGTTCTGAATTGTTGGGCTTCAGTGACAGAACTCAGCTTAACCATTCATCCACTTCTGCTGAGCCAGTCTCTCAAACAGTGGTGCTGCCTTCACAGAGTTTGTGTCAGCTTTTGATGTGAAGCTTTTGGACAGCTGCGTGATCTCTGGGCTGTGGTGGGCAGGCTCCTGTTTCATTTGAAAGCAGCAACATGACAAACTCAAGCTGTAACTGAGATTAGAGACATGTACGTGAGGCATGGCAAGAATATTTTACTCTTCTGTTTACACTGAAGTACTTTGACTTATTCAGAAATACTTTATGGACTATTTTAAGACAACTTGTAGTAGAGTTGCATTTAGCAAGCTTTTAGATATTGTTGCTTCTGACTTGTTATTGGCATGCTTGTTAATGTATTGAAGAAAAAAGAAAAAACATTCTTTATGTAATTCAGTTATTAAACTTTGATAAAACAACACAGCTTTTATTTTATTTGCAGAGATACAATGATCTTGAAGACTACATGAATGACGCAGACAGTTTCCAAGAAGAGAAAATGGATTAAGGGGTCCTATAACTCTTTGAAAGACACCTTGTAAAAATGGCCTGCTTTATCTGCATGCACTTTATCTCTGCTTGGTCTTCAAGATTCTTTTCAGGCTGAGTTATACTTAAATCCATATGCCTTTAAACTACTGTTTCAGAATGTACTCTATCTTTTTTTCCTTGTCTGTGTCAATAATAACCCAAAGTTTTATCAAATCAATCATTCCAATCTTACTGCATAGGTTACTTTAAGTTTCCTTCTTAAAAGGAAAAGTTTTAAATAATCTTAAAAATAACATCTCAATACCTGTTTACTTGTGAAATGAATCTTCCACCTACCTATATTGAGCTGTATTGTAGGAAAGGTAGGAGATGCTGAGACCTTTTAAGTAGGTATATTTGGTTATGTTATACGTAAGGCTATGTTACACAGGTACATATGACTTGCATCTTACCTGCAAGGAAGTCCAGCCATGTAGAATGATAGTTATGATAGATCTTTGCATTTGGGTCCTGTTTATTTCCCCTCTGAGGAACCAGTGTAGACTGTTGCAAGGCAACAGAGGAAGTACTCTGCAGTCCTGAGTACATCTGCGGCACAGGAGTCATTCCTCTCTGAAGAGAGTAGGTGATGAGTCACGTTACAGGCGTCACACAGGCTGAGTCTGTCTTAGCCATCTCAATGAGCACTTGGGCCCACGGGGCTGCCTCTGATAAGCAGCTGGGGCAATTTACTGAGATTTTAAACATCAAATTGCTTTGTGCAAACATAATGGCAACAACTTGCAGTAACTAAAAAATTAAGAGAATGGATTAATGTCGCAGTGCAAGATAAGGATTCTTCCAGTGTAACTTAACAGGAAGTAGGAGTTAATCGGAATCACGATGCATAGCTTACCTGAACTGCATGAAGCCTAAATCAGAATTTTTTGGGGCCAGGGGAGTAGATTTTTGAGGAGCTAGGAAAGGTTAAGTACTTTATTGTCCATTCTGAAAAAATTGACATGAGCCAGCAATGTGTGTTCGCAGCCCAAAAAGCCAACTGTACCCATCAAAAGAAGCAAGACCGGGAGGTTGAGGGAGGAGGTTCTGCCCTCTACTCTGCTCTCATGAGACCCCACCTGGAATACTGCATCTGGCTCTGGGGCCCTCAACATAAGAAGGACGTGGACCTGTTGGAGCGAGTCCAGCAGAGGGCCATGAAGATGATCAGAGGGCTGGAGCGCCTCTCCTGTGAGGACAGGCTGAGAGAGTTGGGGTTGTTCAGCCTGGAGAAGAGAAGACTCTGGGGAGACCAGCCATTGCAGCCTTCCAGTACTTAAAGGGGGTGTATTAGAAAGATGGAGAGAGACTTTTTAGCAAGACCTGTAGTGACAGGCAAGGGGCAACAGTTTTAAACTGAAGGGAATATATTTAGATGGACCTAAGGAAGAATTTTTTTACTGTGAGGGTGGTGAGACACTGGAACAGGTTGCCCAGGGAAGTTGTGGATGCCCCATCCCTGGAAGCGTTCAAGACCAGGCTGGATGTGGCTTTGAGCAACCTGGTCTAGTGGGAGGTGTCGCTGGCCAGGATGATATTTAAAGGTCTCTTCCAACCCAAACCATTCCATAATTCTGTTTCTGTACTTTGTGCTGCATATAAAATAAATTATATGTAGCCTAAGATAAGATGGAAGGCGCAGGGTTTTGAATCAGGAGCTGTTCCTACATGCTGCTGTATGCACATAGTCTTTTAGTAGTCTTCTGTGGCTGAGCATCTCAGTAAAAGGGAAGGTATTGTTAACACTTTAGAGTCTTCTAACAAGTTGTTCTCTCAGAATCAGAGCTAATGAAGCCTGATTTCTTACGGATTTGTCCATAAGAACTCCCTGCATTTGTTATGCCCCCCTCTACAGGCAGCAGGTATGCTGGTTGTGTATCCTGTAATGGTGAACATCTGTTGGCTTTTTTTTCCATAGAAACTGTACCTTAGATTTGTCATTTGGTACCCTTTTTTTGAGCATTCATTGTAATAAATGAACTACTTTTATATTTTAAAGGGTTGAAATTCAGCAATGATTTATGTGCTGTTAGGGTAAGCTGATATCATCAGCTCTCACTTGTACCACGTACAACTACAGAATTACAAACCAAGATGAAAAATCCCAGTAAAGAGATTGAGACTTACTCTCAAGTAAACTTGTGTTGAAGATATTATTTCCATACCTTAACTGTGAATTAGATGTCCAGAAATACTGTTTAGCTTAAATAAGTTTAAATTAGAATACATTACTTAAGTTATACTGTAGTGTGATTTATGCTGCTTGCCTACCTATACATGGGACGAGTAGCTAGATTTGCTGAAGCCTTTAGGCTGCCATAGAGTTAATTTTCTTCGTAATTTTTGTAGCAGCTGGTACAGTGCTGTGTTTAGTCTTTTAGCATAAGACAAATGGTGATAACACACTGATGTTTTGGTAGTGTTTTGCCTAAGTCTGGGACTTTTCAGTTCCCCATGTTCTGCCAGCAAGTGCAGGTGCACAAGAAGCATAAACCAGAAGATAAGGAGACTCCAACCCTCAGCAGAGACTGTAAATCATCAAGGGCAGTCAATGGTCTGCCTGGACACAGAGAGAGAATCCAGGAAAATGTTAGAAGACCCCAGACCAAAAAATCACCATTGGACTGAAAGACACGTGACACGCGTGAGGGATGGGTGTAGAGATCACAAGGGTGTAGTTGCCCACGGATTTCTTTGTTAGATGTCCCTCCCTTTTCAGAGGCACCCAACCCAGGCTGACACTGCTGCTGTACCTTTTGATTAAATTACTTCTTTTTATAAAATCCAATGCCTGAGACTCTGCTGCGGAAGACCTAGGGTTGAGTCTGAAGGAGTGAGTGCGCCCAAGAGTGTGTATGTTTGTTTGTGAGGAGGGGAAATGGGCACTTGTTGACCCACAGGGGTCACCCCCTGTGAAGGGACCCTGGTGATGTGTGTGTCTCCTTGGATGGTGTGTGAATGCTCGGGCAGCAGCTTCTCCTTTAACATAGATATGTAAATATTCTGAGATTTGATATATATTATACCTATCTCCCTAGTTACCAAAGCTGCAGGAACACTTATTTTCTCTTTTTCCTTCTTCATTCCTGTTCTGCTGGGAATCTTGGTGTGAACACACCCATCAACTTAAAAGTACCCAGAATCTATCTCAAATACATCCTTTTTAGGAGAAGTAATGCCCCTTGATTCCCCACTTCTTTCTGTTAACCAAATCTCTCTACATTTCAGGTGGCTTCTCTAGAATAATAAAATAACATTTATGTTGGGTGTAACTTTATTCTTACAAAGGAAAGAACCCCTGTTCTGCAATAAATGGGGTTTGTACTATGTAATGGAGTATGCCCTCTCAGAGCCTTCCTCACGGGTCTTAATTTCTGCTACCTTCCAAATATTCTGAAAACTCTCAAGAATGTATGATTTTTATTGAAAAAATTTGCTGTCAGAATCAATGGTCAATTTCTCATTTTCCCACATTTAAACTGTTTGCTACCAAATTAAAAAAAAAAATAGTTTGGGAAATTTGGGCATGTTGATTACTGATAATATTTCAAGAAAACATATGTTTTGACTGAAAATGAAAATTGGCAAATTGTTCCAGTGATGAATTTTACTCCTTTTTTTGATATCTACTGCATCATGTTTCTCACCTAGAAAGTGTGAGGCATCTAATTCTTTTTTGGTCCTGCAGGGACTTTTTTTCCAGATCTTTAATTTTCCTCTTTCTAACAGGGATACTGAAGTATTCCGTCAGAATTGCTTGGAAGAAAGGGCCTCTATAGCTTTACAAATCACGTCTGTGACATCACCAGTTGGACTAAGAAAATGCCTAGAATTGACATCACTGATTTCTGTTTCAGCAGGGAACTGCTCTGTGATCTGGCTTGGCAGGGACTGAGACAGTGTTTGTGTGCGTAGAGTCTCTCTTACACTTTGATATTCCCCTCGCTGAGATTGGAGGAAGTGATAATATTTCTGTGGCTGTCGTTTTACCTGAAGAGTTTTCTGCAAGACAGAGAATGTGAAGTCTCGTTACATCGTGTTTACATTTGTCTTCACCGCAGGAAATTAAAAGATTGTTTAGAAGAGCCGTATATGTAAAAAAAAAAATCGGATCAAATTTTCCAGGACAGGCTGTAAATGCTGATACTTGCACAGCGTGAAGTTCAAAGAGGACTTGTACCCCCTGAGACTCTCTATACAGAAATACTCAGTAAGAATATTTCTAGCAGAAAAATGTTGTGCAAATATCTAACGATGGGAGAAGTCAGGAATCTGACGAGTCTTTTGTACCTCCTTTTCCATGTCAGAGAATTTGAGCCGAGTTAAGGGGTGAGAGAATATGTTTGCTCTGATATGAATATTTTTAATTGTCTTCAGTGTTAATTTTTGAAGTAGTATCTCAAATTAAGACAAAGTTCCACTCTTAATAGAACAATGAAGGGAGCTCAGTATGTGATTAGACTTGGAGCAGGTGATTAATGACCCTACTTGTAAATTACTTTAGTTCCTGTAACATTCTGATAATCTGCTCCAGTTTAAGTTTTGTAACTGGAGACCACGATAACGATAAACTTCACACAAGGTGTTTATACACAGGATTAGCCTTATTAATGGGATGTATTTTGGGGAAAGAAGGCCCTTTTCAGTCTGTGTTCTATGTCCAGTTCTTGTAGCGAAGTATGAAAAGAAGGGACTTTTCTGCCCCTGTCCCTCGGCTTTTGGAAAGAAAGTAATTTGTGGATCAAATGGGATGGTAAACTTTACTAATAGTAGATAGCTGTTACTGTCTTTTTTTTTTTTTCCCAACAGTCAAGGCTTCTCCTGTTTCCAAAAAGCAGCTATTTCTAGCAGTTCAGTAAGCAATTACAGGCAATTCCCAGGCTTAACTCCTCTAGTTTACTTTTATTTGGATAAATAAAGACTTGTAGTTTTATCCTTCTTTAAGTCTGTCTGGATAAACAGAGTGGGTGTGTTAGATAAACACATGTAAATACAATACCACTCCAAGATAAATACCCAGCGCACACAAAATAGACTTTATAAAAGTTGACTTTCTGATTCCGCTTTGAGAAATAAGAAATACCGATTTCTAATCTGAATTTAGCGGTGAGACAAAAGAATGTAAGAAAGTATGATCTTCCCGCCAAGGAATAATATGAGAAATACATGAAATGGTATTGAAAGAACCTGATAATAACCCTCTCATTTGCTCCACTTCCCTGAATAGTTTATGTGAATTTTTGGTATTTTTCTAGGTAATAAGGAATGGCGTGGGATTGTTTGGATTTTTGGGGGTTTTTCCTGTTGATTAAATAAGATGTAGACATGGTTTCTTTAGATTGCTCTGGGGATTATATTCTCAATGAAAAACCTGGTGTGTGTTCAAGATGCCGTATTTTACAGTTTACACAGAGAAGGAATTGCATGCACCTTATCCCCAAAATTTAAAGACAAGAAAATTAACTCAGGTGCAGTGAGACTCTGCTCCAGAAGTTAGAGTTCACCAGGTGAGCGGCCTGGTGCCTGAGCCTGCCTGACTGGGAATACTGCAGGAAATACAGGTACTTAGAACTGTCCTCACTCAAAATGGCTAAGAACCCTCACTGGAAAGCAAATAATGGAAATGGCTGAAAATTCAAAGTTCTAGTTTGCAAAATCCTCCCCGGGACTGATATTGAGCATGTCCCATTCCGGTGGAGTTAATGTAACTTCGAAGTAATTAGATACGTGATTTCTTAACACAGACGAATGAGATATGTCCCCAGATTTAGGCAAGTGGCATTGGTTCAGCATAGTCTTTTTGTTCCATTTTTTAAAAGTTATTAGCACAATCGGATGTCTCTGGTGAGAGGTGCTGGTTGTGGACCCAGCAGAAATCAGCGCTTTGCTGCTGTGGAAGGGGCTGCGATTTAGGGAACTCAGGGCTCCGACACCAACAGGGAATTCCCACAGAAACAGTGCCCGGGCCTGACAGCTTATGGGAGATGGCAATATCATGTAAAAAGGTCACCAATTAATGTCGACAGAAGGAAAAAAACCTAATTATAGTTATTCGGGACCTGTTACGCTTACGTTTTATTGTGTGTGTGTTTATTAGAACGCCCATGACACGAATTGCAAGCGATGTTTCGATGATGTTAAGAATCGTTTGCTTTTAAGGAAGCTGACAAGTAACCAATCCAAAAATGACAGCGGTGTCCAGGGGCTGGGAACTTTTGCCAGGGTCTTCTGGACAAAACTCGGAAAAAGCTGCTGGACGGATTTTGGGTATTTCCTTCTCTGAGACGCCAGGGGCAGCATTTGCTGCGTGTTGAGCAGCGCAGCCCCGCGACCGGCTGCCTCTCGCCCCCAACGGCATCTCGGAAACCACAACACACAGGAGATGCTGCTCGGCAAAAAAAAAAAAAAAAAAAAAAAAAAAAAAAAAAAAAAAAAAAAAAGTGAATCTTAAACGTCTTAAGTCAAAATTAAAAAATCTTTCTTTTGAAAGATCATTCTCCGAGTTCTACAAAATCTGATAGGAGAGGGAGAATTCCTGCAGCTACACTGGTATCTTCTGGAGCAGCATCACCCATTTGATATTCCCACGGCAACTTTGAAAACCAGCCAAGACCCGGTTTAACACCCCCTGCTTATCCCCCATGAGCTTCGTGTGTTACTGTTACACGTGTGTTCTGTGACTCACCCTCTTAAACACAGCAGGGACATCCGAGCTGTAAAGAACGAGTGAGAGCCCAAGCGAGGCCTGAAGCAAAGGTAACATCATCCATCATTTTACAAATATTAAAATTTCGTATTGTTTTCCAACTCTGCCAGGCCATTGTTCTCACACGATGCATGCTACTGTTACGTATCAAATAATAACCCAATCTTCCTCAGTTATTCAAGATTAAACAAAAAAAATATCCCTTTTTCCTGTTAGCAATAAAGCCTTCCTCTGCAGGCAGCACATCCACAAACGTGGCTTACCCAGACCTGGTCCCTCAGCGAAGATTCAAAAGTCTTTGCTGGGGCAAACATGGGTCTGGATGCGCAGGAGACTCCGGCCAGTGCTCATCCAGCCAGACCCTGGAAACCCACAGGGATGTTTGTTGCAACATGAAGGAGATGGGGATCAAGAAAGCAAGAGCTTTCGCATTTCCTGTATGTCCAGCACTGTGTATTTTTTATGTATTTTGGGGGAATTTCCAGGAGTGTGTCATTTCATCATTGGCATTCAAAGTATTTATGTGCATGACCTTGGAAGATGATAAAACCACCTGTGAGAGTTATCATTAGTTCCTCCTCATCCTCAGTTTAATGCTCCTGGTATGCTCTGGTGAAATTTGTGTGTTTTTCTGACTGGACCCACTGCAGAACTAAATGAGACGATGCACCGTTGTATTAGGGGCTGTATAGTTCCAAAAGACCTTCAAGGTTTTCCATCAGGGATGCGTCTCTGCACACTTGGGGGCCATTCTTATTCCCAAAGATGGATTTGGGATAACACAGCCCACGGTAGCACAACAGCATATTGCTTTAATAAAGCCGACCAGCTCCCAGCTATTTCTGCATCCTCCTTCTCAGCTCACCTACAGCAACACGCAGAACCCGAGGGCTGCGGCGAGGCCGGTACCGGGGGACCAGATCTCCCAGTTGGCCACCCCTGCTCTAAACACAGGAGTCGGAGCACCAAGGCTGTGGCTTTCCCGGGGAGAAACCGAAGTGCGGGGACTACGTGACTCGTGTGTGTGTGTCCCAGCCCACCCCGGACACCCGAGAAGCTCATGTCAGAGCCCGGAGCTCCCCCATCCCCAGCCTGACCTGGGGTCGCGCACTCGCCCCCCTGCATGAGAGCGCTCCGGGAAGACACCGCTTGTTTTTCTACCGTCCGTTCCGGAGACACCCGGCCGGGAGAGGAGCGCGGCGCCGTGATTGATTCGCCAACTCCCCTCGCCCCCGCCCGCAGGTCCGGCCCCGGGGGGAGGAGGAGGAGGGAGAGCGGGAGGCTGTCGGGCCCGGCACCCAGGTACGGAGCGCGGAGGGGAAAGGGGATTTCCTTGGCTTCCTCCCATGCAAATACCTCCCGCCGAGCGGCGGCGGCGGCGGCCCGACTCCCCTCCGCGGCCGCTGGGAGGCTCCGCGCCTCGCCCCGGCCTCCCCGGCGCCGCGTCCCCCGCTGACACCCGCCTCCCGCCCCCGCAGCGCCCCGCACCCGCGGACCCGCTCCGCACCGCACCGCACGGAGGGGCAACGGGCAGCTCGGGCAGCCGGCGGCGGCAACGGCGGCAACGGCGGCGGAGGCAGCGGCGATAACCCACCGGCAACCACCCACCCCGGCGGGTCGGGGATGGAATATACAAAAACACAAAGGAAAAGTGGCTGGACTGTTCTGGGTGCAAAATGCTGGAAGTTTGTAAGTGCAACTCTCCGTTTGTAATTACTGTCTGAAGAGGGGCTGGCTTTTTTTTTTTTTTTTTTTTTCTTTTTTCCTTTTTTTTTTTTTCCTTTTTTTTTTTTTCCTTTTTTTTTTTTTCCTTTTTTTTTTTTTCCTTTTTTTTTTTTTCCTTTTTTTTTTTTTCCTTTTTTTTTTTTTCCTTTTTTTTTTTTTCCTTTTTTTTTTTTTCCTTTTTTTTTTTTTCCTTTTTTTTTTTTTCCTTTTTTTTTTTTTCCTTTTTTTTTTTTTCCTTTTTTTTTTTTTCCTTTTTTTTTTTTTCCTTTTTTTTTTTTTCCTTTTTTTTTTTTTCCTTTTTTTTTTTTTCCTTTTTTTTTTTTTCCTTTTTTTTTTTTTCCTTTTTTTTTTTTTCCTTTTTTTTTTTTTCCCTGCTTTTTCTTGAAACTGTACTTGAAACTATTCAATATCTGGGAGTTATAAGGGAAAGTATGCGAGAGGAGTTCTTTGCCTGGGTTCGTAGCTTGCCGCTTTATTACTAAGGGGGGAAATAAGCACTGAAAAGCAATACGGATTTTCTCCAGTGGCTGGATTAACTGAAGGCGAAGCGTGGTCTGGAAGTCCCACGGACTGACATTGTTCCGGACCGGGGGATCCGTCTCTCGTATTTTTAGAGGAACTACAATTTAGCGGCAGACGGTCGGACACAGTAACAACCCGAAGAGCGGCCAGCAAAGAGCGGGCGAGAGGAACGAGAAAGCACAAAGACTAAACTAACCCGAGCCTTCTCCTCCTTCCCCGGCTCTTTATTCGCACAATTACTAAAGACTTTTTTTTTTTTTTTTTTCCAAATCTAGATTTTTGGTCCGCCGGGGGGTCTCTCCGTGCCGCCGAGCACGGCAATGCCTTAAATTTCCACTTCAAGGAGTAACACCCCCCCCCCCCACCACTCCGCTCCCCAGAAATAAAATAAAATCAATAAACCTGCCAAGTCTCACTCATTCCCGAGGGAGATCTCCTTCATCCAGGGATTCCTTTCGGAGGCAGAGGCTCGCTTTATTTTATTTTTTTTTTCATTTTTTTCCGCCCTCCTCCCCCGGCGGAGCCCCCTGTCCGTCCCCC